AAACGGGAACTACACTAAATACCTAACACTTACCTCCGTAGTATGACTCAGAATAGAAAAACAACAGTGAACACATACTGAGTACTGGTCACCGTTCTCTGCTACACCGAACTGTCTGTGCTTAAAAATCCTATGAGGTAGTTGTCATGGGAATAAGGTGGTGGCATTGCCCTCCAGCCAAAGACCAGCCAAGTGAAGTTGAAGAAGTTGCTTGTTACAAGGGAGAGTATACACTGTGACAAAACCTGGGCTGTCTCAATAAGCAGGTCCTAGGACTTATGGGATTAGGGCTTATGTGATTTGTGGGAGGATTTAGGAAGCAGGGCTTGGCTCAGGACTGAATGCTGTCAGGAAGTAGGGGGGAGTTTTATGATTGGGTATCTTCATAAGACTCATTTAGAGCGAGGGAATCCAGTGAGGCTAAAACCGTAGTTAATAAAGAAGCAGCATGGGACGCCTGGGTGGCTCAGTTGGTTAAGCGGCTGCTTTCGGCTCAGGTCATGATCCCAGCTTCCTGGGATCGAGTCCCACATGGGGCTCCTTGCTCGGCAGGGAACCTGCTTCTCCCTCTGCCTCTGCCTGCCTCTCGGCTTACTTGTGATCTCTCTCTCTCTCTTTCTCTGACAAATAAATAAATAAAATCTTTAAAAAAAAAATAAAGAAGCAGCAGTCACTCCTATTGGGGGATCGATCGTTGGTCATTTTTGTGATTTGGACAGTGCTCATGGTTTTGTCTGTGTCTAGACATGATCACGGAGTGGTCTTGTTTTTGTTTGGATGTTAGTGCACTAGAAATGGCTTATGTTTAACAAGAGAACACCAAGACACAGCTGTGAGTGCCAGGCCACTCCTGGAAATATCGAGGCCAAGTTGGCAGTCATGTGCCAGCTTCCAGATGTCAAGAACTGCTTCTGTCTGTCTCGGGGGCGTAAAGAAGTTGATGAGCTAGTCCAGAGCCATACAGCTCGAGAGTTAGAGAACCACAATGTTAATGCTATATCTGGTCCCTAAGCCCAAACGTTTGACAAAGATTTGCTCTCATTTGGTTTTCATGAAACATCTGTTTTCATCCTCCTGGATTTCCCAGAGGAATCCTGCCAAGTTTCCTGTCATACTCTGTGGGAAATTGGACTGAATCTTGAAAACAACATTGTCCATCGTCTTCAGCAAGAATCCAAGCCTGGTGTGACACTCTATTTCAAGTACAGCCTCTTTCCCTGCACCTTCCGTGCCTCGGTAAAGCATCAGATCCTGTTTAGGTACTCATGTTTACATTCACAAATGTGACTGTAAATACACATTCACCCTCTAGTGGGTGATCTCCAGCCTCTAGCTCCAGATACTGTTTGATAGATGTGTCCTGAGGTTAACAGAGCAAGAGAACCCCTCTTTAGAGAAAAGTGTTCTTTTTTAAGTGGAAGAAAGTGCTAGGGATATTCCCCCCAGGGATATAGTGGTGCAGACAGCCTACGGCAGGAGATGCAATGGAAAGAAACAGATTAAGGACACCAAACATACTGGGTCCCATGTGAGCTCTGCTACATATCAGAAAAGTATTTTACTTATTTCACTTAGCATAATACTCTCTAGGTCTCAAATGACTCCATCTCATCACTTTTTATGGCTGTGTACTATTCCATTATACATACATATGTACGTGTGTGTTCACATCTTCCTTATTCATTCATCTGTCAGTGGACACCGGTTGCTTTTATATCTGAGCTATTGTACATAATGCTGCAATAAACAGGCATGCATATACGTTCTTAAATTAATGTTTTAATTTTCTTTGGGTAAGTAGCAAATAGTGAAATTACTGTATCATAAGGTAGTTCTGTTCTTAAGTTTTGGAAGAATCTCTATACTGTTCTCCATAGCAGCTGCCCTGATTTTCATTCCCGCCAGTGTGTGAATGTTCCTTTCCCCCCTCATTTTCTCCAACATTTATCGTTTCTTATCTTTTTTTATTTAGGCCATTCTGACAGATGTAAAGTGATACCGTTTTGTGCTTTTGGTTTACATTTCCCTCATGAATAGTGGTGCGGAGCCTCTATGTGTCTGTAGGCCATCTGTATATCTTCCTTGGAAAAATGTCTATTCAGGTCCTCCATCCCTTTTTTAATTGGATCGTTTGGGGTTTTGGGTGTTGAGTTGTATAAGTTCTTTATGTATTTTGCACCAAGCCCTTATAGGATATATCATTTGCAAATATCTTCTCCCATTCAGTAAGTCGTCTTTTTGTTTTGTAGATGGTTTCTTCACTGCAAAAGCTTTTTGTCTTGAGGTCCCACTGGTTTATTTTTTGCATTTGTTTGTCTTGCCTTAAGAAACAGAAACATGTTGCAATAATCAATGTCAGAGAGATTGCTGCCTGGGTTTTCTTCTAGGAGTAGTACGGTTTCAGGTCTCATATTTAGGTTTTTCATGCATTTTGAGTTTATTTTGTGTATGATGAAAGAAAATGGTCTGGTTTCATTCTTCTGCATGTAGCTGCCCAGCTTCCCCAGCACCATTTAATGAAGAGACGGTCTTTCCCTATTACGTATTCTTGCCTCCACTGTCATGAGTTAATTGACCACAGAAGTGTGGGTTTATTTCTGGATCCTCTATTCTGTTCCCTTGATCTTTGTGTCTATTTTTGTGTCCATGCCGTACTGTTTTGATTACCACAGCTTTGTAGTGTATCTTGAAGTCTGGGCTTGTGATGCTACCAGCTCTGTTCTTCTATTTCAAGACTGCTTTGGCAATTCAGGGTCTTTTGTGTTCCATGCAAATTTCAGTATTATTTATTCTTGTTCTGTGAAAAATGCTGTTTGCACTTTGATAGGGATTGTATTGAATCTGTAGATTGCCTTGGGTAGTATGAACATTTTAACAACATGAGCATGAGTGTCTTTGCATTTATTTGTGTGATCTTTCTTTCATCAGTGTTTTATAGCTTTTCAGAGTACAGGCCTTTCACCCCCTTGGTTAAGTTTATCCCTAGTTATTTTCTTCTTTTTGGTGCACTTGCAAATGGAGTTGTTTTCTTAATTTCTTTTTCTACTTTCTAATTTCTACTTTCTTACTAGTCTTATTAGTGTATAGAAATGCTGGTTATTAATTTTGCATTCTGAAACTCTACTGAATTCATCTATTCTATTAGTTTTTGGTGGAGTCTAGGGTTTTCTATGTTATAGTATAACGTCATCTGCAAATAATGAAGTTTAACTCTTTTTTACCAATATGGATGCCTTTTTTTCTTCTTATCCAAGTGCTGTGGCTAAGGCTTCTAGTCCTATGTTGAATAAAAGTGGCAAGAGTGGATGTCCTTGTTTTGTTCCTGACCTTAGAGAAAAAGCTCTCAGTTTTTCACCATTGAGTGTGATGTTAGCTATGGGTTTTTCATAGATGGCCTTTATTATGTGGAGGTATGTTTCCTGTATATCCACATTGGTGAGACCTAGTTGGTAATTTAAACATTAGATAAAATTCTTTTTTAAAATATTTATTGAAAATGATAAAATTCCCTGGAAACCCAATGACCATAGCCTTTCACTATTACTCTAAAGCTGGCTCCTCAGTAGGGTGACTTCTAGGGGCAGCCGGCTTCAAAGGTGTGAGCACTGAGTTCCACAGACTCAGGTAATGCAGGGAAGGTCCAAGGAAGGTCACTGTCCCTCCACTAGGTCTTCCTTCATGAACAAGCTAAACACTTTCACAAACACCCTGAATGTCCAGATTTGAGACTTCAGTGGAGAAGTCCACGTAAAGCTCGTACGACCACTCTACTTCATCTCTGCCTTGCCCCAAACCTTTAGTCGTTCTCCTGGCCCCATGGAGATGCTTCCCCAGCCATTGACGTTATCCCATGGCGGTGTCATCTCAGTGGACTCCTTTTCCCTGTGGGATCCTGCTTCAGCTCTATCCAGGGGCACCTTCTTGTTTCACTATCGCCCATTTTTTCCAGCTACTAGGCTCTGCTTCTGCCACCCCCAAAACCATCTGAGGAAGGCTTACATTTAAGACCAGCAAGGGCTGACCTCGAGAAGCAAGTGAAAATGTTGTATTTCATACATTTGAAATAGCCGTTCTGTTGTGACCTTTCTGACCCCTAGTGCCCGCCACCAGTGGTCTCTGAGGAATGACTCCGTGCCCTCACAGTTGTGACTAAAGTGTCTGGAATCTGTTGGTGGTTAAAGCACAGTTGTTCACATATAAAGAATTCTGCACCTCTCTTCTTTGATTCAAACAAATCTGTGACCCTTTCAAGCAAGAGTATAGCAGAAACATCCTTCTCATCTCTTCTCAGCAGAAGAGCAGGATCTTGGTACAGCTGAAGCTAACACTGTTTGAGCCAGGCACTGAGAGAAATGTCGTACGTGCATTTTGTTCCATTTGTTTTTCATAGCAATCTTCTGACGCTTACCCGTTCACAGATGAGTTCAGTGCAAAGCCCCAAGTAGAGCTAGTCTGTCTTCTGAGCTTGTTCTAGAAGATGATCTGCTGTGTCCCCATTAGGTCATACTGAGAGGCCTCTCATTTGCAGGAAAAGGCTATCAGAATTACCATCCTGGCACCCTTCTAGATGTCAAATTTCACATTAATGCTTACCCATATTAGTCATGTTGTATCATACTAAAGAGTGGTTGTCTTCCTTCACAGTTATGAGGAGCGTGCAGCAGTGTTTGGGACGCATTTAATATCATTCCATGCATCAGGAAAGAGTCAATGGAGAATGACAGGGAGTGGGAGGGAAGTGGCTTTGTTCCCAACTACTGATAGCTTTGATCTACCCCCAACCACAGCAGAGAGGACATAACCTCCACCTGAAAACTAGGGGACATCTGTTCCTGAGAAAAATGTGGACAGGAAAGCAATGACATTCTTATTCAACCTTTGATCAGATATCTCCAAACATAGTGTTTGCCGTATGTGAGCAATTAACCGAAAAACACTACAGGTCTGATGTAGAAGAAAAAAACAACAACAAAGGACACCAGCAAGATTTGGGCATACCAGAAGTGAATAATGGCTGACAAGTTCACTTTTCAGTGACAAAAATCAAATGATTCTCTGGATTTCTACTTTCAGTGGTATTCTATCTCTGACTCCATTGTGTGTTGGATAGTGTGGACTCTTTTAAGGCAGTCCGCATTCAAAAGATGAGCTCATCTTGGTCTCTGCGCCCCGGTGCTGGCAGATGCGGGAGACACGTATAGAGGACAGTTAACCCACTGACCAGTGTGAGTGCTGCCACTGATACTGATCACGGAGAACCATGCTTGTGAAATCTTCCAGGTGGGTCTCTGGGCATGGCCATCTCCAGGTTTTCTGCTCCCTTAGCACCAGAAGAGAGATTTGTGTTAAATTCATGGGCTCAAGATCAGAGGGCATGAGGCTGACCTAGAGCTAGGCTCCTGAATTCAGAAGGGAACTTGTTTTCATTTTCTCCACCATTTACTCATTTCAAAGGCCAGGCATTCATTCAATAAACATTTTCCAGGCAAGTACCATAATCCAGCACTGGGGAAAAAAAAAAAAAAAAAGCTGATATGGTGTCTTCAGAGACTACAGAGTCACTTAAGGAAAACAGACAGATGTATACAATTTTTTTTAACTATGATACAGTATAAAACATGCCCCATTAGAAATAGGGACCAGGTATAGTACTAGACAAAATGGGAAACAGGTTGACCAGAAAAAGCATCACAGAATTAATAATAGGTACCATGGATTGACTTCTAACCATGTGCTAAGTGGGGTTATTAGCATAATGGTTAGACATGCAGGCTTCTGAGTTAGACCCAAGTTCAAATCTCAGCTGTGTCATTTACCAATGAGAAAATCACTATTGCAGCCTCCATTCCCCTGTGTAGAATGAGGATGAACACTGTCTACCAGACCCACTATCAAGGTGGAAGTCAGTGAGGCACCTTGTACCTTTAACACATGGGGCTGCAAGAACAAATTGCATACTTGGTGATTTCAGAGAGCAGGAATGTACTTACCCAGTCACACTTCTGGAGGCTAGAAGTGTGAAGTCAAGGTGTCGGCAGAGCTATGCTCTCCCTGAAGGCTCTAGCGGGGGAATCTTTCCTCACCTCCTTCTAGCTTCCGGGTGTTGCCGGCAATCCGTAGCGTTCCTTGGCTTGTAGTGTGTCGCTCCAATCTGTCTTCACATAGCCATCTCCCCTGTGTGTCTGTACAAATTTTCCTCTTCTTATAAGGATGCCAGTCATACTCGATTTAGGACCCACCATAATTCAGTATGACTTCATCAGGATTGCAGCAGCAAAGACCATATTTCTCAAGGTCACATTTACGGACTCCAGGTGGAAATGCATTTGCAGGGAGGGGGCACTATTCAACACAGGACACACGTCAGCTAAACACTCCATCAATACTGGCTGTCAAAATTATGATTATTATTAAATTCTGACAGCAAACCTTAGAGATCAGCATTGTCCTCATTGCACAATAAACCGAAATGTAAGAATTAGGTAATTTTCAGGATTGCAGGATTAAGATTCAAATGTGCCTTGTCTGAATTTAAAATCTAGGAGGGACAGGGTGCCTGGGTGGCTCAGTCAGTGAAGGGTCCGACCGTTGGTTTCGGCTCAGGTCGTGATCTCGGGGTTGTGAGATCCAGCCCCTCATTTTCTCGGCACTCTCTGTGGGGAGTCTGCTTGAGATTCTCTCTGTCCCTCTCCCCTGCCTCCCCACACTCACACTCCTTCTCTCTCTCAAATAAATAAATTAATCTTTTTAAAAAAAAAAAAAAAGATAAAACCAGGCAGGGTCACTAGCTACCGTCATGCAGGAGCCGAGAGGAAGTCATCCTGTCACACAAGCAAGTTCTCCAAGCAGCACTAACTGAGTTGATAGGGCATGGAAAGGGGGATGAAGGTGGGCAAGACATCGATGTCCTGAATCCCTAGAGGGCAAGGCCGAAAGACCCTTGTGGACTTGATGAACCCAGCCTCCTCATTGCTCGGGGGAGTAGACAAAGACTGAAACAGGATGATTTCCCTAAGGCCCTGTGTCTGGTTGGTATAAGATTTAGACTTCTATCCACCATCTTCCCCCCTTCTCTCCCTCCCTTCACCGGCTCTCTCCCTCCCTCCCTCCCTCCCTCCTTCCCTTCCTCCCTCCCTTCCTTCCTTTCTCATTTCCTCCCTTCCTTCCCTCCTCATTTCCTCCCTTCCTTCCCTCCTTCCTTCCTTTTTGTTGGTGGCCGCGGGCAAGGCCAGAGAACATGAGCCCCTTGGAGATCAAGGAGGCCCTGATCTTGGGGACAGCTACTTACCCACATGGGAGCCAGAGCTCAGTTTCTCCACCTCCCACCCCTACCCCAGACAAAAAGCCTGGTTTAATACCTGCTAAACCAGTATAAAAGTTGAGATGCTCAAGTGAAATGCTCAGGGCTTCCCTGGAGAAGATAGCGTGGCAGTGTTGATTCAACCTGCAAAAAGGTACAAAAGCGTGAAGGTCAGATGCAAAGCTGAATGCTCTTGACACCCTGTCAGCAAAAAGTGGGGTGGGTATTAGGGCACGGATTGCATGGAGCACTGGGTGTGGTACAAAAACAATGAATACTGTTATGCTGAAAATAAATTAAAAAAAAAAAAGATTTAAAAAAGAAAAAAAAAGTGGGGTGGGCTCTGTCTTCAGTGTTAAATGAGATTAGCAACCACTGGCAGTTACCCTAGACAATTTTTTGAAATCTCCGAGATTGGTAACCACAGAGGAACATGTAAGTCTTGTACCTGGCTCCTGCCAAGGCCCGGGGACTGAACGCTCCAGGTCCCTCACCCTGTCTTCTGTCTCTACACCACAGCCCAGGAGACCTTTCCAATTCACAGCCTGGTCATGCCCCTACCCTCATTGCCTGCTTCCCCATAACCTTCAGCATAAATGTTAAGCTGTTTATCCCAGCTCAAAGCCCCTGAGGATCTGTTATCTGTGTCCCTATAGTTTTACACAGAAAAACATATTTACACACTCACACATGTTCTCCCTAGCTCACTCTGCTTTAGCCCCACAAGCCGCAGTACCTTTGTACGTGCCTGACACGCCCGTTCTGCTCTGCCTCCACCCACTTTATAATCTCTAATTGCTCTGAATGTGTTTGTACATCCAGTGCTAGGAAGCGATACTGAAGGAGTACTTGCACAGATGCACAAAGATAGATGCTCAAGGATGCTCATTGCTTTATGTCTTGCATTAGAGAAAAATACGGCAAGTCTATCTATAGGTGAAGTAGCATGTATGCCTCATTCTGTAGCCACTGTGGGCTGGTAGAATGAAGCCAGGCCCGTGTAGATGCATGGGGAAAGACCTCCAGGACATACTGGAGGAGTCCTAGGGGGTCCTTTGCAGCAGGTGACGTCTTCTGTGTTCTTGAGTAGTGTCTTTGCGGGGGAGCTGGAGGAAGGGGTAGGAGGGAGTTTAACATCAGCGGACTCAGGTGTCCCTAGCATACCCATCCCTGGGTGTTCAGATCACAGAACACGCATCCTTGTGCTGTTTGTGTATGATCATGTGTTACTGTGTTGCTGTCATCGACTGAATGAGATAGCACCTATAACGCTCACAAAGTTAGCCTGGACGCAGAAGAAGCCGGCGCTGCTGTGCTCTGGGTGTACGCCATCGAAGGTCAGAAACCTGTGTTCACATTCTCAACCTGTTGCTGGCTAGGTCTCCCACTTGGGGCAAGTGTCTTTGCCTGTGTGCCTAAGCTTTCCCTCCCATCTTTGCACCGCGGGAAGTGAAAGAAATCCTTCTGTGGTCTCTGCGTCACTGGTGCATTCTTCTGGAGGCTACTGCCGTGTTCGTAGGAGTCACTTCTTGTGTATTGTTAACAAATTATTTGTGTGTGCCAAGTCATAGGCGCCGTTCTGAGCCTTTTAAATGTCCTGACCATTTTAAAAGCATCTAGCAGGTGTGTGGAGTAAGTACTCTTAACTCCGTTTTGTAGAAGGAGAATGAGACGCAGAGATTATGTGTCTTGTCCAACAAAATCATGCAGATAGAAAGCCATAGAACTAAGCATAATTCCAGGCAGTCTGATTATGGAACCTGGACTGCAATCTGGCCAGAAAACCAAGCAGCCCTGGGAGACCTTGGAGAGTCGGACGTTTATTTCATGCCAGCAGGCCCCGAGGAGAGTAATCTCTCAAGGTCTGAGCCCCGAGCACAAAGGGGACAGTTTGTACACTTTTACTTCTGTAACTGTGCCACTCTTGTGGCCGTGGCCGGTGGGGCAGGGGAAAACCTGGAATGGCCCTGGGCCAGGACTGGGATTCCCTTGCTGGATTGGTTGGCCACATCAGAACCCAGATTTTCCTTATTATTTGCCCCTCGATGCCCCTTTAAACACCTGGTTTAGAGGACATCATATTTATCATCTACAGGGCAACAGTGAGTAAGGAGCAGCTGGAGTCTGATCTTGGCAATCTGAGCAGTGTGGACTTGGTAAAGGCATTAAAAATACGAGGACCAAATGCTACTATGAGGAGGGGGCCGATGAGGAGGAGGAGCCAAGGGAACCATTTGCCAGTAGTGGTAATGCGAGAGTTTCCCTCCCTACCAGGTCGGGCAGGCTAAAGGCAGTGAGGAACAACACCCCAGGCAGCAGAAGACCAGGACTGACTGGGCTCAGAAAGACCATAGTGAAATGCACTTAGGAGTAGACGGCAGAGGGCCAGCAAAAGTAGAGGGTCCCCGGCTTAGTTAGAGGGCGCCATCGCAGCTAGCTGGACAGCAGATCGAAACTGTGGACAAGGAAGTATAGTACAGCACCCTGTGGTCACCCAAGCAACAACAGTAATGGCAAGTCTCTGGGGGAAAGTCCAGCCAGAAGGGGCAACAGAGTCGAGTCTGACCCGTAAGATGATGGATATCGTGCCGGTGAGAACTAGGGAGGACAGCAAGCAGGTGTCCCTTAGTCGGTGGGGTCTCGTCGGAGGCGAAGCTGGAGTGGGTGTGTGGGGTTTGGCTGACTTGCCATTGCTCTGGCTTTTTGTCTGAGTGATGGGCTTTTTTTCACTCTGGATCGGTGGACCCACAGGTGACACAGGAGACCTTAAAGGCAGTAGGGGTGGTTAGAACAGAGTGAGGCCCTGTCCACTGTGGTTTGAGGGGGTCCCTCTTCCAGTCTTTGACCTACACTGAGTCTCCTGCCTGGAAGGCATGCGCACCTGGGACCCTGAGGAGACTGGGGCCTCACAGTGGTGCGACTTTGTCATTTATTTAGGGTGGCCCCCAGGCCTGAAGTTGTTTTTTTATTTCTTTTTTTCCAATCTGATGTAAGTTTCCTGGAAGACTTCCCAGGCACAGGGGAGCTGGCCCATACACTAATTCGAAAGGGGATTAACTTAGCGTCCCGGGTATGCAGTGGGCATGCAGGAGGGTCAGGGGTGGCAAATCTGGCCTTGGGAGGCTAGTCTCCCGACAAAACTTTGCTAAAGTTCCCTTGAGGGTACGATTCATTCACTTTACTTTCCCTGAGCTTTGGGGCCGGAAGGCAGTGTGCAGCCCCCAAATGATGTTGAGAGACTTGGTTAAGACCTGTGCAGCATCTGGTACAAATGCGGGCCCATCGTTACCGTGGATTGTTAATGGCGGGCTGAACTGGGGCATAATCTCCCATAAGAGAACTTTGGCTCCTTCCTGGCTTCACTCTATCCTGTTCGGGAAGGCTTCGACCCATCCAGAGAATGTGTATGCTATTTTTTAAAATTTTAATTTTATTTTTTCAGTGTTCCAGCATTCATTGTTCATGCCTCACACCCAGTGCTCCATGCAATCCGTGCCCTCCTTAATCCCCACCACCAGGCTCACCCAACCCCCCACTCCCTCCCCACCAAAACCCTTAGTTTGTTTCTCAGAGTCCACAGTCTCTCATGGTTTGTCTCCCCCTCTGATTTCCCCCAATTCACTTTTCCTCCCCATCTCCTCACGTCCTCCGTGTTATTCCTTATGCTGCACAAGTAAGTGAAACCATATGATAATTGACTTTCTCTGCTCGACTTATTTCACTCAGCATAATCTCCTCCAGTCCCGTCCATGTTGATACAAAAGTTGGGCATTCATCCTTTCTGATGGAGGCATAATACTCCATTGTATATATATATCCATTCATCTGCTGAAGGGCATCTCAGCTCCTTCCACAGTTTGGCTCCTGTGGCCATTGCTGCTATGAACATTGGGGTACAGATGGCCCTTTTCACTACATCTGTACCTTTGGGGATAAATACCCAGTTGTGCAATTGCAGGGTCATACGGTAGCTCTATTTTTAATTTCTTAAGGAATCTCCACACTGTTTTCCAGAGTGGCTGTACTAGCTTGCATTCCCACCAACAGTGTAAGAGGGTTCCCCTTTATCCACATCCTCTCCAACACTTGTTGTTTCTTACCTTGTTAATTTTGGCCATTCTAACAAACAATCCTAAAATGTGTATGGAACCAGAAGAGACCCTGAATCGCTAAGGAAATGTTGAAAAAGAAAAACAAACCTGGCATCATGTTGCCCGATTTTAAGCTTTACTAAGGTGTAAGGTGGTATCTCAGTGTGGTTTTGATTTGAATCTTCCTGATAGCTCATGATGATGAACATTTTTTCATGTGTTTGTTATCCATGTGTATGTCTTCTTTGGAGAAGTGTCTGTTCATGTCTTCTGCCCATTTTTTGACGTGATTATGTTTTTTGGGTGTTGAGTTTGAGGAGTTCTTTATAGATCTTGGATATCAGCCTTTGATCTGTAGTGTCATTTGTGAATATCTTCTCCCATTCTGTGGATTGCCTCTCTGTTTTGTTGACTGTTTCCTTTGCTGTGCAGAAGCTTTTTACCTTGCTGAAGTCCCAAAAGTTCATTTTCACTTTTGTTTCCTTTGCCTTTGGAGACATGTCTTGAAAGTTGCTGTGGCCAGTGTTGAAGAGGTTACTGCCTATGTTCTCCTCTGGGATTTTGATAGATTCCTGCCTCACGTTGAGGTCTTTCATCCATTTTGAGTTTATTTTTGTGTATGGTGTAAGAGAATGGTCAAGTTTCATTCTTCTCTACATAGCTGTCCAATTTTCCCAGCACCATTTATTGAAGAGACTGTCTTTTCTCCACTGGATATTTTTTCCTGCTTTGTTGATTATTTGACCATAGAGTTGCGGGTCCATACCTGGATTCTCTACTCTGTTCCACTGGTCTATGTGTCTGTTTTTGTGCCAGTACTATGCCGTCTTTGTAGTAAAGCTTAAAATCGGGCAACATGATGCCAGGTTTGTTTTTCTTTTTCAACATTTCCTTAGCGATTCAGGGTCTCTTCTGGTTCCATACACATTTTAGGATTGTTTGTTCCAGCTCTTTGAATAATGCTGGTGGAAATTTGATCAGGATGGCATTGAAAGTATAGATTGCTTTGGGCAGTATAGACATTTTAACAATGTTTATTCT